CTTATCCTTTTTATCTTTCAGTTTATCAGAGAGATCTTTGTGCAACCATGCTGATTTCTGCTTAGATTTCTTGTTTTTCTTTTCTAGTGGTATTATGGTAGACTGGGCTTTTATAAACATATTTTTCAGGGTTTCCCAAACTTCTTGAGTTGTTTTTCCTTTTAAGATTTTCATCTGTGGAATCCTTCCCAAGCTCTCTCTAAATTTGTTAAAAATCATCTCTTATGTGTCAGCATTGTGACAACAGAAAAAATTGTAGCCATTTTACTCTATAGCTGGGGTTTTCCTCGTAGACAGACAAAGAGGGGAGGGAGAGATATGAGCATTCTTAGTTAGTCATAACAATTGCAGTTGCAGTTATAATCAAGGTCAATGTAAGTGAAGAATTTTGGTGGTAGAAGGGTGTGGGAGAAAAGCCCACATTTTTTTGTAATTGGGGAATGTGATGTGTGACAGCTTGGTTTGGGGTGGGAATTGCAATTTTTAACTTTGTATCAGGGGAGGGAATTTTCAGTTTTGGGTTCAACTATGTAAGTGCCGATATTTTGTTTCCGAATAAAATGTTCTTTAAGGATGAATTTCTTGCCTTGAAGTTCTTTTGACTGGTTTCATCTATCAGAACTATGAAATTAACCCAATACTGACTTCTACATTAATATCATTGGGGTCCTGAGCTCCAGTCACTTTCCCATAACTAGGAGGGAGATTGACAAAGATTCAGGGAAGATCTCAGTATGGAGATAAAAGAAGCACCCACAACCAGCACCCCGACTATGGCGGCTGCCTTAGTGGAGGGAGAACAAGCCGTTGCATTGTTGGAGAAAGTGGGTACGGAAGTTCTGGCAGTGGGCTCAAGGCCCAAAATGTGGGAGCTATTGTGGTCTTCGGAGTGGACCCTGCATGGTGGAGACTCTAAGCATCCTGAGACAACCCAACCAAGAAGAGTTCTTCAAGAGTAGCTTAGTCGGAGTTAGAAGCAGATGCCTCACGGGAATCACACTCTCCCAGTCATAGAGGGGCAAAAGATTTGGGTGAGTGGAAGTACCTGTCAGCAGTCCCCAGCCATTCGATGGAGAAGTTGGTAGAGCAGTTCAAGGAGCTAGAAATGGGAAGCGAAGGGCAGGTCAGCCGCTACTTGCCTACTAGTGAGTGTGACAACCGGCGGAGTTGACGCCAATCTATACCCAGAAGAAGCCCTAGCCCTACTGGCGGAGCTCCGGGAGCCACTCTGCATTTGGAGCCGCTAGCATTGGTCTCAAGGAGGAAGAGTTCTCACTGTCATCCACAATGTGACAGTCCAGGTCGTTGTCGATCATCAAGGAGTCCAAAATGCCACTTGCGACGTGACAGTCCTGGCCATCGGAGAAGCCCTGATCAGTATCATTCATCATGGTCTCCTGATAAGCGTCACTGCTGCGAAAGATCCAAATGGCGGGAACATTCCAACAGCCCCAAGAGACACCTTTGTGACAGTCCTGGTCATAGGAAAAGCCCTAATCATCGTTGTTTGTCATGGTCTCCTGAGAGGTATCACCATCGCAAAAGATCCAAATGGTGGGATCATTCCAACAGCCCCGACCAACGCCCTCCCTATCGAAGCTCTGACCATCGCCAATACCGTTGGAGCCCTGATCCTACCAGTACCATGAGACTCCTGACCATTACTACCATCAGTCATGCAGCCCCGATTATCACCACCGTCGTCACCCAAGCCCAGGACCGTGCGAAGAGCCGACCCAAACGTGGATGTTCAACACAACATGATCCAACAGCTGGGGCAACTGTGTGATGTATTGGACAGACAGCAACCACTAGGTGCACAGCAGCCACTGGGGGGCCAGCAGCAGTTGGGTGTGCAGCCGCAGCTGGGGGGAACAACAGCAATTAGGCGGACCACAACCCATAATAGCGCCACCTCTTAAGGCCACTTTTTTTTCCAAAACAATTTTTATTAGTTTTCCATTCTCTTAAGGCCACTTTTGATGGTGATCCAGAGAAGTTGATTTTCTTCCTCAATCAGGTGCATTCCCATATGAACTAAAATGCCAATTTCTACCCAGATCCAGCTGCCATGGTTGATGTTGTCACAGCCAATCTAGAAGGGGAAGCATCTGAGTGGCTAAATAATTTATACAATGAACAAGCGCCTGAGCTATGGGATTTCCATTTCTTCAGGGATTGAGAACCAGATTCAAGGATGAGTCCATAGCACTCAAGACTGAGAAATATATTCACAAGGTGAAGCAAGCCGGCAGACCTGCATTGGAATATGTGCGAGAATTCTGGAGAGTAGCAGGTCAGATTGAGAGATGGCCAGAGCACTCCCTGGTGCATCACTTCACAGAGGGGCTAGATGACCATACATCCCAAGCCTGCATCTATCGGGGGGTTCCTGATCAACTACAAGAGTGGTACCAAATGGCAGTGAAGCCAGACATCAAGCATGCTCACTATAAGAAGCCAACTTCTTCAGGAACTGGACCAAAGCCGGAACAGCCCAGATGGCTGTCACTGCGGAAAATCCCAGCAATCACGGCCACAGAATCTCCTAAGCCATCTACTGGCCTGGCGATCAAGTGCTTTAGGTGTGGCCAATCGGGACACAGAGCCGCTGTTTGTCCCATTCCGTTTCCTCAGCAAAGAGGCGCCCCAACTCCATCAGAAAAGAAGAAGTCAACTCAGCCCCCTTCCAAGGAAAAATTGATCAGAATCACTCAAGAGCAGATCACTCAGTTCGCCACCCCCGCGTAGGAGTCAACGGGACACCGCTGACCTGGCCACTGTCCTGACGCCCTACAATAGCAATGATGAGGGAAAAAACGATCCGATGGTGAGTCAACCTATCCACCTTTCTCCCTAAACGCCAAGCTTATAGTTCCAAAAACTGGAGCTCAAAAGGACTTAAAAGTACTTGTAGATTCAGGGTGTTCCTGATGTATCATTAACCTACCCATTGCTCAACAGCTGGGCATACGAACGAGATTGCTTTCTAACCCCATGAACAGGCAGATGGTTCGTTGGTGGGAGAAGCTTTAATCACTCACCTAATTGAGCCAGTACGGTTAGAGGTAGATCAGTGGTTCTCAACCTTTTTAATGCCACGACCCCCCAACCGGTCATAAGTCGAGGACTACTCAATCGGTCGTACGTCGAGGACTACTCAACTGGTGCAGCACCGTTTGCAGAATGGGACTTTTGGTGGGCTCAGCAGGGCAGAGACAGCCTGGACAATTCCTATTGGCTTTTGAAAGCCAATAGAATTAGACTCTATTCAAGAGAGTCTATTCTATTGGCTTTCAAAAGCCAATAGAATAAAAAGAAGTAGCACAGCTAAGGAAAAGGGGGAAAAATGGCGGACTGCGTTGTTTGGCGACCCCCGTGAAATGGTCGTTCAAATGGGGTCCCGACCCACAGATTGAGAACCACTGAGATAGATGAACATTGGGAATTCATCCGCTTTGTTATAGCTCTGAAAATGACAGAAGCAGTGATTTTAGGCCTATCTTGGTTAGATAAATGGAAACCTTTCATCTGGTGGGAGAAGGGAATGAGAACATTTTCGGAATAAAATGTTCTTTAAGGCTGAATTTCTTGCCTTGAAGTTCTTTTGACTGGTTTCATCTATCGGAACCATGGCATTATGATTATGTTCTATTGTTTGTGTTTGCATTATGTTGAATTTCAGTATGACGCGGTCATTCTTGCCCAAAGTTCTTGTTAGTAAGAATTAGATTCAGTATAGCTGTCCCTCTGATTTCCTTCTCTTCCTTTTAGATGACAAAGTTGTCTGCTAGATTGGTCAGGAACCTGCTTGATCTCCCACTTGATGCAGAGTTTGTCTCCTTGTTGATGTCAGAGTAGTTAAAGTCCCCCATTACTAATGTGGTGTGTTTCCTACACATGTATATTTTGCTAACTAATCAGCAAAAACTTCATCTATTTCTTGTGCTTGGTTGAGTGGCCTGTAGTATACACCTATAGCAATGTCATTCCTTTTTCCTTTTATATCGACCCATAAGCATTCTAGGTGGTTTTCATCCTTGTTTTTGTGCATTTCTGTAGAGATGTAGTGATCTCTTACATATAATGCAACTCCACCTCCTCTTTCGTTAGGTCTGTTTTCAATATTTTGTATCCTTCCATCAGTAAATTCCAGTCATGAGTTTCACCCCACCAAGTTTCAGTAATGGCAACTATATCATATCTGCCCTCGTGTACTAGTTTGTTCCCCAAACTTTGAGCATTGGTATATAGGCATCTGAATCCTTTTTAGCTGTCCCTGGGTATGCTTCCTATATTTCCTAGTTTAAATCTGAGTTTTTCTTCCTTCCCATCCTTCTCTACCTCCTTGTTTGATTGGTTGTCTTGGGGTTTATGCTTGGGATTAGGTCCTAAAGATCCTAAAAATTTGTCATCCTCACCTTCAATTTTAATTTAAAGCCCTTCAGATAAGTCTAACCAGTCTTTTTTTGTTCACTGCTATTACTTGAAAGAGAGATATATTTCTAATCAGACAACAGAATGGCATAGTAGTTCAAGCTGGATGAGCTCCATACTTAGCAATTAGTTTTGCACTGATTCTCAAATACAGATTCTAAGCTTAGTGCTCTTGTGCAGGAATTAGATACAGCTAAATTTGCTATCCTGGGTTGGAACTTTTGTATCTTTGGGACTACTGGATATGTCAAGCAATTGAATTATTTTTTAATCCAGCCTCCAAATTCCTTGCCTAGAAGCAATTTGGCCCATAGTCCATTTTAATTAGTCTGTGACAAAAATCCTCTTTGTAATATTTTGGTCAGTAAAGTGTAAATTCAAATCCTGGTGGCTTCACAAGGCTGGAATCTGCTTGAGTAGGCCCAGAACAGCAGAGTCTCTTCATCTGGTCTCCACAAAGTATGATGAAGGCACCCAGAATGTCTCTCTAATAAAACTGTTATCTGGAATGTTTCTGATAACCATAGGCTTCATATCAATTAGAAATCAATTTTTCTCCACAGGTGTTGGGAGTTGTGATAGGAGCTGGGCTTTCGGTGTTGCTTGTTTCTGCTTTGGTACTGATATTGATCCACCGATTTCATCTTCAGAGTAAGTTCTCTTTTAATGATGAAGAGAAGCCATGTCCCACAGGATATCTTTTTATTTGGATTATCTGGTCCTATCCTGCTGGATTCCTAGTTTCTTTTTTTACTTCCCTACAGAGGTTCAGGCTCAAGAACAACCAAAATATCGATTTCGCAAGCGGGATAAAGTATTATTTTATGGACGAAAGATTATGCGCAAGGTAATAAAAAAATCAGAGTACCAAGAATGAGCATGTAAATGATATGCCCAATTACTTTGAAGGGCACACTGCGTGATGCAGTCTTTCAGGAGCAGATTTTATATATCAGGCTCTTTGGAATTTGAATTTGACAACAGTGCACTCTTCTTTTGTTTGTTTAGAAAAAGTATCCTTTTGTAATCCTGGACAAGGACCATTTTTTCACCATTGGTGTTTGTCTTATAGCTACTAAATTACCTTCAAAAAGGAAGAATAGCTGTATTTCTCAGGAAACTATTCTTGAAGATGAACCCATGTTTGGACAGTTCTTGAAAGATGATCCTACAATTTATAGACTAGTACCAATAGGCATAACAAGATTTGCAGGAAAAATCATTTCTTCATTAAACACATCAATTTTTTTGGCAGGTTTCTCAATCTACATCCTCCCTTGTAGACACTTCCATGTCTGCTTCACGGCCACGCATGAAAAAGAAGCTCAAGATGCTAAATATTGCCAAAAAGTGAGCAGGCAAGCCAGAAAGAGGAGAGTGTTTGAGTGAATGAAGGGGAATCTCCTAACAAACTGATGAAATTTTGGACATCTGGAACCATGATGTTCAGGTTTTGCCCAGAAGGGGAACCTTGGAATGGAGTCAATCTAGGACATAGGATCTAATATCCTTAAATCTTTTCCTAAGAAATGCTGGAGTACTTCCAAGGGAACCAGCCTCTTGAAATAATATGTACAACGAGAAGTTTTTATGATGCTCATTTGGCTCCCAGTGTTTCAAAACTATGCCAGATTCCCAGTTCAGAAGATAAACAATTATTCCTGTACTTTCTTATTAATATTTCAAAGGAAGCTATTTTTATTTCTCCACCCTAATACATATATACAAATAATTGTATGTGCTCAGGGTGGGTTGTTCCTGGATATTCCTCTGAATCACTCTTTGTTCTGCAGATAGGAAGAAATGCAACAATGGCCAAAAATAAGTGTTATAGAAAGAAAAAAGAGTGGCATCTAAGGGAGACTAGGAGTGGAAGTGCAGGTTCTTTGTGGTAGTTGGATGCTAGTATTATATTCATGCTAGTAATATAAGATATGCTATTTGTAAACTCAGGCTTCTTGCTGAGAAGCTGGTGCAATCACATAGAGCTCAGGCCAATGTGGAAAGAAGATCCTTGTAACATTGTTTAGGTTGCTTGGGAGAGGGATGGAGGGAGCAGTGGCTTGTGGTCTTACTAATAGGAGCATCTCTCCTCTCTTGAAAAAGGGAACTGGCTAATTGTCTGCAGAAATTTCAGCTTTTTCTTCCTGTGCTCAGAATCCTGCGTATCAAGAAGGAGCTGCCAACCCTTCAGCTAAAGGAGCCACCCCCATCTGTTTTGGAGGCTGATCTCACAGAGTTTGATGTGGCCAACTCTCATCTCCCCTCTGAAGTACTCTACATGTTAAAGAATGTGCGGTGTGTATATGTAGGAGTCTCATACTAACTGAGGTTAAGGCTGGCATGGAAGTTATTGGAAACTGAAGTGCCTTCGCAGTAGCTGGCACTATATAAAGCAATATCTGGTTTGATGTCTTCCAGATGTGTTATAGTTCTATTCTTTATAATCTAACATTTCTTTAGGGCAGGGGTCTCCAACCTTTCCGGGCTCAAGGACTGGAGGAAAGGAGAGCAGTTTCAAAATTGGTGTGCGTGCGCACGCACAGGGCCACGCACACTGGTGCAGCACTAGCAGCCCCGTTTGCACATGCGGCATGCGCTGGTGCTATGCACATGCACAAATGGCCACACACACCCCACGGCAGCTAGCAGCCCATTCGCACATGTGCAAATGGACCGCACAAACTGCCCAGGCTAGTGGCACATGCACAAACAGGCTGTGAACATCCGCCCCACACTAGCATTCCCATTTGCACCTGCGTGCATGTGCAAACGGCCACGGGTGCTAGCGTAAGTGGGGGGGGGAATGCGCACCCATGCATGTGCACACCAGTCAGCCATTTTTGCAGCCTCCTGGCCAAGAGCCCACAGCCCAGTCCCAGGCCGCGGACCATAGGCTGGGGACACCTGCTTTAGAGTATCTTGAAAAAGAGTCAATTAGAAAAACACAATTCCCAAGTTGGCCAAACTGGTATTGTTAAATTAGCCCTTTCCATAAAGTAACTATTAGCACAAAAGTTCTCCACTGTAGGATCTCAAAGCATGTAGTGAAGTTGCTGTTATTCACTCCTCATCTTCTGTTATTTCTCCTATTGCCTGGAAATCCCAAGGACTGAGTGGGTTTTTTAAAGTTACTATTCTGTAGTTCTAAGTAATGCATGGCCAATTTGTGGATGGAGAGCAATGAGTGAAGAACTCTTGACATATTAAAATAAATGGTAGATATCCTCTGATTCCATGGTTGGAGAATAATTGATCCTCCTGTCTAGGATCAGGTGTCATGGTTGCATCTCTCCTATCCAAGCTTCATGCGCTGACAGCCTGATATTAGCAATGGGTGGGGGGAGATTGGACTGTAAAGAAGAAGGAGTGGATGGAAGCCCAGTGAGAAGCTTCTGCCAGCCAAGGTCAACTATTGATATCCAGAGCTGGGGACCAAGCACCTGTTTCCTAAACCTAATTGGACATTTATAGAGGGGCAGGGTGGGGGGAGGAAAATTAACTTTGTATTATTTGCATGGGAAACTCTCAGATTCTGCTTACACAACTTCTGTAACCATCTAAGGTTCAGTAAAGTATACTCTTGGCAAAAACAAATGGTCAGGAGTTTTTTTTTCCTAGATGATTGAGTGGAACGGTTAACATCAGGTTTGCTCTAGAATAGATGAACAGAACCTACACAGGCACCCATTCACCCCTTTTCCAAAGAATCCCGGCGCCTCCTGCTTTTAGAAAGTGACCTTCAATAAGTCAGATAAAATATGGTGCAACTTTTAAGCCCATGTGGCTTTTAAACTCTCACTGGCAGATTTTCAAGATTTGGTTTGAAGCTAAGCTTCATTAATATTTAATTCCAAAAGAAATTAATCATATTTTCTAGAATTAATTTCCCTGGCACAGATAAAAGAAGAAAAGGCAAGAAAAAGGAATACAAATGTGCCCTCACTAGGAATCTCAAGTACAACTCAAACTTGAGCAGGATTGCTTTGGGGATTTGTTCCATGATTTCGCTTGCCCAGTGTTATGGACAAGACTGAAACAATTTTGTAATACTTTTATTTGGCCTTTTATCACAGTTACTGGCACTAAATAAACTTAAATAAGATACAATAGGAAGGCTACATACATGTGAGGAAGGAAGGAAAGATGCAGTAATGTTCCCTTCAAAGCTTTATGTGCTACCTTTCTATCAAATGGTCTCCAACACTGCTTCCAGTAAAATACAACACTTAAAAACACTATCCCTGTTTTAATGATGCTATGGCCAGCAGAGCTAGTGAAGTTCCATGATTACATGCACCTCTCCTATTGTGGTTATTCTTCTGGGTTTTGTGCCTAGTCTAGAGAATCTAGTCCACTGTCCCCAAGAAGCAAATTGGTTGGTAGATTTCAGTGTTTAATATGGTGGGATTATTGTTGTAATTGTGCCCTGATGTTTCCCTTTAGGGTGCTAGGCCACTTTGAGAAACCCTTATTCCTGGAATTGTGTAAACACATGACCTTTCAACAGTGCCAGCAAGGCGAATATGTCTTTCGCCCAGGTCAGCCTGATACCAGCATCTATGTGGTCCAGGATGGAAAATTGGAGCTCTTTCTATCTGAACAGGTAGGAGGAAGAGAGGAGCAAATCTTGAAAGGGCTGCAATACACCATGCTCTGCTATGCGAGCCACAAGGCCAATCTGGTCTAGTCTTTCTTCCAGTGAGAGCTGCTGTAATAAATATTGCTTATAAGATGACTTCTCCCAATTGTTACCATTTATTTGTCTGTATTTGTGTCAGAATCACCTATAAAGCTAACCAAAGGGTTCTTCTGGAGTGAAAGGATTTGCCGGTGTCAAAAGCAATGCAGTCATTGGGGAGGCTCCTTTCATTTACTGCATTTACTCAAAAGCCTTTATTTAAAAACTAGAGCAGGGAAAGAACCATGGCTAGCTTCTCACAGCTGTGTATGTAATTCAGGATGGGAAAGAGACTCTTGTGAAGGAGGTGTTCCCAGGAGACAGTGTGCATAGTCTTCTCAGCATCCTGGATGTCATCACGGTAAGTACTGACTATTTAGAACCATTTGTTCTACTTCTGCCTTCTTAATGTTGTTTTAAAGTTTACACAAAAATATTTGTATGTTTTCCTATATAAATATAGGAAGATTTTTTTCTACTGCATGATGTGTTTTGTTTATGTCTACTTTATGTATACACACATACTTAATTTGTCAGTTGCTTTACAAATTTTCAGAGAGCTTTAATTCATGTGCATATTTTGCATTGTGAAAATCAGACATTAAAATGTGAACCCGATCAATGTTTTCCCTTTTATAACTACAACACCTATTTATTCCCTCTGATCATGTACACTGAGCCTTTCCTACTATTAGAAGAAGGTCTCTTGACCTAATCCTCTGCTTCTACCTTTTCAGACACACAAGATAAAACTTAATTTGCTGCTGAATCCTCCCAAGTATTGGTCAAATCACTCCATATAACTAATAAAAAATAAATAATCAGAAGAGCCTAATAATTCCTCTTCTGACTAACAAATGTTATTTAAAGGCATAAGCTTTTGTAAGCTACAACTCATCTTCTGACACAATAGAGTGCATTTTAAATTGGTTTTAAATTGGGATGAGAAAAGCGGAAAAGGAGAGGAAAATAGGTTGGTTATAAAGATGTGGGTAACATGTGAAACAGATTACAACTACTTTATCAATCTTTTAAATTCTATCAAGTCACTATATGCATCTGATGAAGTGAGCCAAACCTCATGAAAGTAAGATATAACTCATTTAATAAGACTTGTTAGTTGGAAAAGGGGTATTGGAATCCTTATGACTTTTTGATACATAGACTAACACGGCTCTCCTTTTATATGTTGTACATGTAACTAGTGGATCAGAAAGAACTACAGTTATAGCACTTAAATCTCTCTGATGGGGTGGGTCCAACAGGGTCACCAACGGCCATATCGGACAGTGTCAGCACGGGTAGCTGAAGACTCCACTGTGCTACGGTTGCCGGTGGAAGCCTTCTCAGCAGTCTTTGAGAAGTATCCTGAGAGCTTGGTCCGGGTGGTTCAGGTGAATTTTCAGCATGCTCTGCCACTGTCTTTCTTCTTTTATGCATCTCCTTTCTGTGTTTTCCTGCTGGGTTTGGTCTGTGTCAGCAGAAGCAGGAAATACTACAACATTACATCACTTTTTGACATAATCATTCAAATTGAGACACTTGTCATAATATCTTACAAGATTTGAAATTCCTTAGTAATCGCTCGGCGCCAAATCTGGGCTATGGGGGGGTGATCAAAAACATCTCAACGGAAGTGCTTCAAAAGTTCTTGGATGCATCTAGCGATGTACGGACAAGCATTATTGTGAACAAATACCACACCGGAAGTCAGCATGCCCCAATGCTTGTTATGGATGGCTCTTCTGAGTTTTTGTAACGTTTCACAGTAGACTTCTGAATTGATAGTCGAACCACGCTCCATGAACTTCATTAGCCATACTCCTTTGGCATCTTAACATTTGGTAGGATTTTCTATAGCACCACTTCCAGTGTGGTGTTGGTTCACGATAATGCTTGCCCACACCAAGAACTTTCGAAGCAGTTCCGTTGGGATGTTTTTGATCACTCCTCCTATAGCCCAGATTTGGTGCTGAGCAACTACTACTAAGGAATTTCAAACCTTGTAAGACGTTATGACAAGTGCCTCAATTTGAATGGTGATTATGTCAAAAAGTAATGTTTTAGTTTTCTAATGTGTATAATAAAGGTTCTGTATCTGTGAGTGTCTGTCATGGATAACCAAAGGAGGTTTATTTCCGAATTGCCCTCCTAGTTAAGCACACAATCAAGCAAATTTGCATCATTGCGAACATAATCTTTCATGTCTTCTCTACAATGTTTTTCCTTGATTTGCACTTCTGAAACAAACACCTATAAACTAACGTTGCCATACATATCCTTAAATACAGCTTTGTGGCACAGTTAAACTTAGAATAATGCATTAAAAGGTGACTATTGCATCTCCAACAGAATATTGTAGAGCTGGACAAGTTGCAGAGAAGGACAGCTGGTGGGCTGAACCAAGAATCCTGTCTTTTGGGGCGGTGAAGAGGGTCTCTCACATGGAGAGTTAAATCAGCTACTTTTGGGTGGTTATGGAGAAGTTGCCAAGGTGAGCCCATGGGCAAGCAGGAGGCAATTCTGTGGAAAGCGAAAGACAAACAAGAGCATTTCTTTTACCCTACCCTAGATATTGCAATGAACTTTTACATTAACTGCCACAATGTAGGCAGTGTTAAAAGAGGGATCAGTCTAGAATCTCTATGTAACCACCAACAAGCTAAGTCCAACCTCTCTTGAATTTTGTTGATCCTTATCTAACTCTAAGCAGGTGCTGTTAGTTGAAAAGATTCCTGTGCACAGGCATGAGTAGCAATACATCAGTTTAATTAATTAATTCAATGTTTTGCACCTGACATACACAGACACATGTTGGGTAACTGTCTGTTAACCTGCCACCTTGCTGTTTCCAATTGCAGATCATAATGGTTCGTCTTCAGAGAGTCACCTTTTTGGCCTTGCACAACTATCTGGGCCTGACAAATGAGCTTTTCAGCCATGTAAGTCATGACCTATCCTACGCAGATTTACATTCAGAAGACTGTTTCCAAACTAAACCTTGCCCTCTTCACATGAGAATTGACAGTACTTTCAGCATGTGCAGAATTCACTCCCCTCACTGTTGATTAAGCATAGAGGGTGGGTTTTCCAGCACAAGTAATTTGGGCAAGAGAACTGCTCTGAGCTTCCTGCCTTCTTGTGTAATGGATGTGGATGTGTTTTCCATCCCCAGGAAATGCAGCCATTGCGGCTTTTTCCCCAGTCGAGTCACCCCTCCCGCACAAGTCCTGTCTGGCACAGCAAACGCATAATTAATGCTTCCTCTATTGAGGACACAAAGGATAGTACTGGAAGGCAACCAGATGCCTCTAAAGATCAAGGTAAGTTGCCTACCCTAGGAGCAAAACCTGGCATTTGCTAGCAAGGTATGAGTTGAGCTTGGCCTTTGAGCCTCCAGTGCAATCCATTCCATTCTGTCTCTTGTCTTGACTTGCTTATGAAGTGCGGTTTCAATTTCTTCTGTTGGTGATGTTCTCTAATAATAATATTGCAGAAGCAATGGTCCAGATGCTGTACTAGAAACTAAGATCAGATCAACCCAGAGTACAAAACCTCATCTGGCCCCAGCCACCAACTGAGTATTTTCACTGTTCTTTTTCCCTGCATATTCTGAGTCCTAACAATAGAATGTAATTTAATCATTTCTAGCAGAGGTTTCCTCAGGAACAGTTTTGCATTCCTTATGCAAGTATTACTTATGGGGATTGGATGGGAAAGTCAGATGTTCGCATTTATACTGTGTGAATGACTGCCTTGTATACTTCTAGGTGATCCCTTGAAATCAGGTTTATTAGAACCCTCTGTTCCTCCTTTGTTGAGCCGTTGTATCTCCATGCCAGTTGATATTTCAGGTATGTCTCCCTTTTGGCCTATTCTCCTTCTTTTTTGATTCCTTGGGCAGTCCAGTTGATTATCTCCATGCTCTCTTTCTTACTCAGGAATACCGAAGGGCCCACGGTCAGACTTTGATATGGCCTATGAGCGAGGCCGCATCTCAGTTTCTCTTCAGGAAGATAGTACAGTTTCATTAGATGGCTTTGCTCCAGTAAGTTCTGCCAAGAGGGACAGAAATATGTCAACTTTGATATCTGTCATTATCTCATAGATTTTTAGATATCATTAGAAGGGATAGAAGTGAGGCTGCCTTTTGGGGAGGAGATATTTCTGCCTGAAATCTTTCCTCCATGAGTTGCTTCTACCTTTTCTCTTTTTAACAGTCAGCTTCCCAAGACTCCCGCGAACGAAAATCTGTGACAGTGGAGGAACAGCCATCAGGCATCTACCATTACAACTATTGTGAGGATGATTCAGCAACTGGGGATTGCCCATTTGGACCATACCAGGGCCGCCAGACTAGTGCCATTTTTGAGGCTGCCAAACAGGAGCTGGTAAAACTCATGAAAATTGAGGTAGAGTGATTACAGGAAGAGTTTTCTGATAATCAGTGGCTGGGGAAGGTTCTCCCTTGCTGCTCTCTTCATTTCTCAGCCAGTGCAGAAGCTGGTGGTGTTCAGTACTTGGGTCATCTTTACTCCCCTCTCAACAGGAATTAGAACATAAAATAATAAAATTGGAAGAAATCTTGAAGGTCTTCTAGTCCAACTCTGTAGGTGACAGGAGATTCTATAGCATTCTGGATAAATGGTTGTCCAGTCTCTGCTTCAAAATCTCCAATGACAGATCACCCCCAACTTCCAGGGACAAGTTGTTCCATTGATTAATTGTTTTCAAATTGTTTCGAAATTTCTACTTAGTTCTAGTTTAGATCTCTTTTTAATGATCTTCTATCCATTACTTCTTGCCCTGCCCTACTTGCCTTGGAGAATGCTGACTCCCTCGTGACAGCCCCTCAAGTACTGGAAGACTGCTATCATACTATTCCAGTCCTTCTCTTTGTTAGATTAGACAAACCTAGTTCCCTCGATTGTTCATCTTATGATTTAGCCTCTAGTTCCCTAATCATCCTTGTTGATCTTCTCTGCACTCTTTCTAGGATCATAACATCTTCTTTGTATGAACATTTTCTATGTGGCGAAGCAAAACAAAACAGAGTTGTCCTTTACTTCAAAAGCCTTTTCAGTTATCATGACCCAGAAATAAAAATCATGGCATTTCAAGATAACACTTTGATTGTGCCAGTGCTCTGCTTTGTTCATGAGTTTTATGGACAAGAGAATTATAATCCTGTCCTCCTTTTGTCTTCTCCTCACCAGTTTTGATATTTTTCTTCCATTCATTATAAGAAAATTGTCATGGTTCTGAAAGAAGAAGCTTTTCAAAGAACTTTGAGGCCTTGTTTACCTTAAAGAATCCTTTTATTGTTACATAGCTTCGGCACGTACATGATGAAGCCAAAACTGAATACTCCTTCCCCCAATCATCCTTAACAAAGCATAACTCACTCCTTCATTTAAAAATCATCAGTCACGTTCTCCAATTAGTTTGAAGTGTGAACTTCCCTCCCGTATCTCCTCCGGTTACAACTGACCTTGGAAATACTGTACTGAAATATTGTTATGGCTAACTATTCATGAGTACATACTTTCCCCCCTCCCTTCTAACATTGTCTGACTTTAACTCTAGAAGTGATACACAGGTTAAATAAAACATGTCTGCTTCTTCATATTGTCAAGCAAGAACATCCGATGTAAGCAGCCTTGATAAAAACATTCCTTTTAACTAAAAGTTCTATGAGTCCTTTTGAAATCATCTTCAGTTTTATTGCACTTTGTACTCTACAATTTTCATAAAGTTCATCTTGCAAGAGTTTTGTCTAGTCTTAATCCCTTTTTTTCATAAAAGGATAATGGAGGTCAAGAGAAAATAATTGTTCCGAGACAGAGAAATTGCTTAAAAATTCTGCTTTGTGATGGTTATTGTGTGCTGGGAGTAGGGTTATAAAGGAATATGTGTGTTTGTGTAATTAGAGTAAATGCTGAAGATCTTTTACAGAGATATGGAATTGTTACTTTAATGCATGAACTCCTTGTTTGTACAGTGTGCAAAGTTTCTGTTTGGAAAATTTCTATAAGATAATGCCATGCAGAAGCTTCTATATTACAGGTAGTCCTCACTTAAGAACCTCAAATGTGACTATCAGCTTTGTTCCTAGGTGACATGGTTGTTAAACAAGTTGAACAAGATATCACATGACTGATACTTGCAATTTTACTGCTGGCTTCTCCATTGACTCTAATTGTCAGAAGCAGTCTGAAGTGTGCAAATGGTAATTGCATGACTGTGGGACACTGTAATGGTCATAAGCGTACAAATCTCAATCTTGTGACTGTAGTGAATGTTGCAACAGCCATAAGTGTGAGGAATGTTTGTACAGTTACTTTTTCAGCGTCTCCATAACTTTGAATGGACAATAGAATGGAATGGAATGGACCTTGGAGGTCTTTTGGTCCAGCCCCCTGCTCAAGGAGGAGATCCTATACCAGTGGTTCTCAACCTTTTTATAGCCGCGACCCCGGTCGTAAGTCGAGGACTACCGGCCCGGGAGCGCCACGCATGCGTGGTGCCGCCCACCTGTGCCAACTGAGGCACAGCCGGCAAGGGGCGGCGGCAGGCAGGCCTGGGCGCTCCCGGGGGGCCGCGGCAGGCAGGGCGACCACCGGCTGGGCCACCAGCTGGCCCAGCCCAAGGCAGGTAAGGCACCCGCCGGGCCCCACGCGCGCCAGCAACCCTCCCTGCACCTGCCGCTGCCCTGCTAGGCTTAGCTTGGCCGCCGCCCGTTTGGGGCGGCGGCAGGCAGGCCCAGGGGCTCCTGGGCGGCCACGACAGCAGTGGCGCAGGGTGACCACCGGCTGGGCCACCAGCTGGCCTGGCCTAGCCCAAAGCAGGTAAGGCACCTGCCGGGCCCCATGTGCGCCAGCAACCCTCCCTGCGCCCACGGCCTCCCACCTCCCACCCCCGGCCCTCTTTTACTTACTTTTTAGTTGCTCAGCAGGGAGGGAAGCTCTGCAGACTGTTCCCCTTGCAGCACCGTTTGCAGACTGGGGCTTTTGGTGGGCTCAGCAGGGCAGAGACAGCCCTGGACAATTCCTATTGGCTTTTGAAAGCCAATAGAATTAGACTCTGTTCAAGAGAGTCTATTCTATTGGCTTTCGAAAGCCAATAGAATAAGAGGGAGTAGCAGAGCTAAGAAAAAGGGGAAAAAATGGAGGAAAAAATGTCGGATCGTATTGTTTGGCGACCCCCGTGAAATGGTCATTCAACCCCAAATGGGGTCGCGACCCACAGGTTGAGAACTGCTGTCCTATACCATTTCTGACAAGTGGCTGTCCAGTCTGTTCTTAAAAACCTCCAGTGATGGAGCACTCATGATTTCTAAAGGCAAGCTGTTCCACTGGTTAATTGTCCTCACTGTTAGGAAGTTTCTGTAAGGACCCACCCCACTTTGCATCTTAAGAAGACAGAACTCTTGGAATAATTCTTCCAACAGGAATCCTTTATTAAGAGAAAATGGTTGCAGGCATGCTAGACAGGACTTGGGGTTCAAGCTCTTCCACTCAAGGTTTTAAGGGGTTCCCCAGTAGTCCCACCCAATCAACCCCCCTTCCAGTGATAGTTTCAAGTATCACAATTCCACCCCCTTTCTTCTTTCTTCCGTCTGGATGGAGACTTCAGATAACTACATGAAAGGCAAATACCCTTTGTTATGATAAGGTATGCTAACGCTTTGAGGTTACAATAAACACACATTCAGCATTCAGCTCTTTGAAGTGTACTGAAGGAAGTGAGGGCCATAAAGCCCCTTTGTTCTCCCCCTTCTCTCCCTCTTATGGCAGAATCCAAAGAAGGCAGAATTGGGAGTTTCTATATTTGATAATTAAAGATGAAATATGATTGGATTCTGACATCCGGCCCCTCTTAAAAATAAGAGAGATCCACCTGAAAGAAAACACAAGTATAAAATTTAGTCAGGCTTGTTAGGATACTCTGTGTGAAACTTCTTCAATAGCTTCGGGGCTCTGACATGACGTTTATGGACCCACGTATTTTGTGGCCGGTAGACTGAGTTGATATCTCCTAGAATGGATTTCCTTTATTTCTGTTGTTCTCCACCATGAGTTCAGCTGATGCTCTCTTTTCAGCTGCAATGAAAAATTGGGTGTATTTGCCTGAGGTTTTTGGGTAATTCTAATTCTACTGTTACTGGATTTATGATTCTTTTAATTGGAAAAGGTCCTATATATTTTGGTCCAAGTTTTTTACAGGGCTGTAGGGACTTTAGGTATTTTGTAGATAAGTACACCATTTCTCCTATAATGAATGGTGTAGGCTCAACCCTTTTTTTATCGGCTTGTGTTTTGTATGCCTGCCTAGCTTCATCTAGTGCTTTTCTGACTATTGGCCAGGTGTTTTGTAATTTCTCCATCCATTCTTTCAGCGAAGGGATCGTTGGTTCGTTTGGGGTTAATTCTGGCATGGGGTTGAAACTTTGACCGGTGGCTATTTGAAAAGGAGTGTAACCTGTGCTGGAGTGGACTGCATTATTGTAGGCAACTTCTGCAAAAGGAAGTAAGTCCGTCCAATCACTCTGTTGGAAATTTAAAAAGCATCTCAAATATTGCTCAAGTACTGAATGGCACTGTTCCGTTTGTCCATCTGTCTGAGGGTGATGGCTAGATGTCAGTCCCTGAGTGGTCCCTAAGAGAGATAAAAATTCCTTCCAAAATGCAGACGTAAATTGCACTCCCCTATCAGAGATGATGCGTTGGGGTGCCCCGTGCAATCTGTAAATGTGCTGGATGAAAAGTCTTGCTAAGGCCTTTGCAGTGGGAATCTTTTGGCAAGGGATAAAGTGCACCTGTTTGGAAAACAAGTCCGTGACTGTCCAGATAACAGTATTCCCATTGCTTTCTGGCAATTCCACTATAAAATCCATGGCTATTTCCCTCCAGGGGGCTGAGGGACTTGCCACTGGTTGTAATAGCCCTGGCGATTTCCCTTGCAACCTCTTTGCTGATGCACAGGTTGGGCAGCTGGCAACATAACTTTCTATGTCCTTTTTTATTGATGGCCACCAAAATTGCCGTTTAATTAAGTGTAAAGTTTTTACAAATCCAAAATGCCCTGCTGATTTTGTGTCATGGCAAAGGTGCATGAAAGTTAGTCTTTGAGTTGTTGGTATATATAACTTTTCCCCTACCCAAGGCAACCCGTCTCTCATTGTGCACACATGTTTGTTTTTCTGGAACCATTCATCTGTTTCCAAACTTTTTCTGAATTCAATCCAGTTTGGCTGTCCAGTTGTGGTTTTATTTTGGCTTGGGTTCTTGTGGTTACTGGTGCTGCCAGTTGTGACTCTGCCATTATTGGTCTAGAGTCTGTGGTTCGTGCGCTGTTATATTGGGGCATGCGAGATAGTGCATCTGCCAGGAAGTTCTTTCTTCCTGGTAAA